GCTGCTTTGCCCTGGAACCTCCTAGATGTTTTCCTTCGCTTACATGCATATGTACTTGTTTGTTTAGACAAAGCCAGTTTTCCAGCACATTGTGGTTGGGATCCTTTTAAGTTATATTTTTCCATTTGCTAGTATACAGCACACATCTCTCTGTGGTGGTAAATATGCTGTATGAATGCCCGTTTTTTATTTTATTTTTTATGTGTATGAGTGTATTGCCTGTATGTATTTAAGTACAGTGCCCACTGAGGTCAGAAGAGAGTGTTGGATTCCCCTGGAACTGGAGTTACAAATAGTTAACTGCCATGTGGGTGCTAGGAACCAAACCCAGGTCCTCTGCAAGAGCTGCCAGTGCTCTTAACCCCTGAGCCATCTCTCCAATCCCAATGTCTGGCTTTTTAAAAAAGATTTATTTGGGGGCTGGAGAGATGGCTCAGTGGTTAAGAGCACTGACTGCTTTTACAGAGGACCCGGGTTCGATTCCCAGCACCCACATGGCGGCTATGAACCGTCCTTAACTCAGTTCCAGGGGAATCCGAAATCCTCTTCTGACCTCTGCAGCATTGCACGACATGGGTGCACTCACATACATACAGGCAATATACTCGTACACATAAAATAAAAATAATAAAATATTAAAAAACAGGCAGGAGCCAATGTTAGCGTGTCAAAAAAACAGAGATTTATTTCATTTTTATTTATGGGTACCTGTGTCTGTGTATGCATAGGTGTATGTGGGTGCCCAGGGAGGTGAGAAGAGGGCTTTCTGTGCCCTGGAGCTGGAGTTATAGGCAGTTGTGAGCCACCAGACATGAATGCTGGGAACTGAACTCGGGTCCTCTAGAAGAGCAGCAAGTGTTCTTGATGGCTGAGCCACCGCTCCAGCCCTGTGAATGTCATTTTTGGCCTCCATATCTGGACTTTGTATTCCACTGTCCCCATCCCATTAGACATTTAGTTTGTTTGTAATATTTCACAATGATCACCAGCCCTTTTGGGAGCAACTCTGTTCTAGAATCCTGGCGAGTGTGTTCACTGATTTCCCTGAGATAAATTTGTGGAACTGAACTTGCTGATTCAACTAAACCTGCAGGATTTAAATTTGGTGATGTATGTTATGACTTGTTTTAACAAAGGCCTTAAAGGTATGTGTTAGTCTGATCTCGCCAGCACAGGCCCCATGGAACTCTGAGGCACAGGCCCTGGCCTGTAAGGCAAGGCCTGGAGTTTCTACCCGCTATGGGTCTGGGGCCTGGGGAGCTAGTCCAAGCCAGTGTACTTTCAACACCAAGTTCTTGGATTCTTCAAAACATTCCTCTGCCTGGGTCCTTATCAGACCCTCATTGGAGCACTGTGGGTAAGGTGGAGCAGGTGGACATGGGGTGGGGACTGTAAGGAGTTTGGGGTGGGAGCCCAGGAGTGGAGTTCCAGCCTCCCTGACCTTCCTTACACTCACCTTGAGAATGAAGATGTACATACATTTGGTTTCTGTACCTCGGGTTTCTCCTCTGTGGACAAACTACGGAGTGACTGCCCCCCTCCCTCAAGGATCTTCCTGGGGCTCACAGCTAGGATTCAGCTTTCATTTGACAGTTGGTAAAACTGTGTTGGGGACTGGAGTGTTGATGGCTTAGGACCAATCTAGACCCAGCCCTTCTGCCCCTTTCTATCAGTGTGTGTAGTTTTTGTGTTTATTTTTTTGTTTAAATTTTTGAGACAGGGTCTTGCTCTGTAGCTCTGGCTGACCTGGAACTCACTATGAAGTCCAGGGTAGTCTCAAACTCATGGCAGTCCTCCTGTCTCAGTCTCCCAAGTGCTGGTATTACAGACATGAGCCATCCCATCAAGCTTGACTTGAGTGTTTGCAGACATCCACCTGCCCGTGTCCCCAGGGGACACAGGGTCCCTTTGGCAGGTTCTTAGCCCTTTACATAAAAGCACTGAAGAAAGGACTCAGAAGGATAATTCTGTTGGAGTTTGAGGAAAAAACAACAGGGCAGGCAAGGTGGGGACCTTGGCAGCTGTTGGGAGGAGGGAGATGGAAGAGGAGGAGTGAGAGCCAGGAAAGCGAAGACTGCAATGGAAGGTGGAGGGACTTAGGGGAGGTATGAGGAGGAGCAGGCTTAGGGTTTGGGTTGCTGTCTAGAAAAGGAAGATGGAGAAAAGGAAGTGGTCACACTTAGTGCTCAGAAAGCCGGGGGCTCAGCAGGAGGCCAGCTTCCGGTGTCTATGGGGAGAGCTCTCAGAACGTGGCTGTTCTTACCTTACTCTCAGGAGAGTCACGTCTTCCATTTCCTGGCTTCAGGTGGCCTTTCTCCTTATCCCAGGAGGTGTTAGCCTTTTCCAGGCAGGGAAGTGCCTACTGTCAACATCAGAGCATGTGTAAGGGATCAGTGATGTCCAACATGCTGTTCATGTCAGAGGAAGTCACTGTGTAGGTATTCATGTCTCAAAAGAGGGATCTTGACAGGTAGGCCTCTGCTGTTGACATCAGAAAGGATGCCATTGACCACAGAATACGCCACACGAACGAACATATGTGTGCTCTGGCCCCAGAGCTGCCTGGGAAGCAGCTGTCTGTAGAGGTGCAGAGGGCCTTTGCTTTCCTGTGTTCCTGCCCAGGGGTGTGTGAGTATATGCGTATGCATCGTGTATATGGGGTGTTTGTGTGTGTGTGTGTGTGTGTGTGTGTGTGTGTGTGTGTGTGTGTGTGATTTGTTTGGCCTTAATGCTCACTCAACAATTAACTGTAAATATGAAAACAGCCAGAAGCTTAGAGGTCCCCACCCTTGGGACTGCTTACGTGAACAGTGGACTGTTCTCCAGCCACCAAAGAGGATGTAGGTGAACTGGCCCACAGAACATTCTAGACCCCAGTTGGTCAGGATGTTTTCTTTGGGTGATGGGTTCTTTTCTAATGTTCACTGTAGTTTTGTGCAATTCTCATGCATGCACACATGTATATATGTGTTTACGTGTTTATGTGTAATATATATATATGTTTGATTGTGTGTGTGTGTGCGCACATGTGAGTAGAGGCCAGATTCAACACCGACTGTCTTCTTTTTCACCCTCTACCTTATTTTGAGATGAGGGCTATCACTGAACCTGGATCTCACTGTTCCACTAGGCTGACTGGCCATGAGCCCCTCCTGTGTCTGCTCCCCACAGCTCTGGGGTTATGGGTACCTCTGCTGTACTTGGCTCTCATGTGGGTGCTAGAAATCCAAACTCAGGTCCTTGGGCTTCTGTGGCAGGCACTTTTCTGAGTGAGCCATGTCCCCGCCCCAGTTGTCAGATGCTGTACCAGTGAGTGTGGTCTAGCTTGGTAGTAGAGAAGGGCCTGGTGTGGCAAGGAAGGTGTGCAGACAGCAGGTGTCAGAAGAGTTTCTGGTGTGGCTGTGAGGGTGATTGAGGGATGGCTGTGTGTTCCCTTCTTGCACACTCCTCTCACAGCATCCCCTCTAAAGGCCTGGGATACAATGAGTACCCCAAAGGTACAAAGGAGAATAGGGAGATGGGTACTTAGTGAGTGCTGCATGAACCCCAAATTTTGTACTAGGAGCTTCCTGGATGGTATGTGTATCAATGAAATCTTTGTAAATCCTTGTAACTGTGTGTGTGTGTCTGTCTGTCTGTCTCTGTCTCTCTCTGTGTGTGTGTGTGTATGTGTGTGTGTCTGTGTATCTGTGTGTATACTTGTGTGTGTATGTGGTCGGTTCCTACCACATAGGGTTTTGCATGTGACAGGCAAGTCCCCTGCAGTTGACCCCCAGCTCCTGTTGTAACTCCTTGGCTGGGTCCCTTGCACAGCAAGACTCTCTGATGCTCATGTGTTCTGTTGCTTGATTGAGGATGGTCTGGAGATGGGACAGAGCTGCACCAGGCTTCTCTCCCTTCTCCCCCATTGCCAGAGTCCTCATTGAAAGGTGTCAGCTGGGAGCATGGTGCAGACCCAGGCTGAGAGGCCCTCTGAGTCACTGCTGAGCCACTGCTTTGGGGCTCAGCTGGTTTCCAGGGTGATGATACAAATGTGGCCTTTTACTTTGGCCCCTGGATGAGGGGGAAGGCAACAGTACACTTGCATCATGGTGATTCAGGGGCTGCCCCTGCATGCCAGGCACTGGACTAGGCCCCTCTGCAGCCAGTTCTGCAGTAACTTATCCCCTTGCTCCCTGCCTGCATGTCACCCCACATGCCCAAGGCTCCATCTTCCTGATGTAGGGTTGAACTGAGGTCCACCTCCTAGGCTTGTCAGGGGCTTGGGGTTCTGTGAGGTGACCTCATCAAGCGTGGCTCAGGGTCCCTGCCTTGGGGGTGATGCTGGCGGGGAAAGCCTGCTAGGTGGGGAAACACCGGTCTGCAGTCTCAGGAGTGCTGAGGGAAGATGTGCTGTACTGTGAAGGGCAGAGGCCCTGAGGAGGGCCAGGTGAGCCCTAAGGGGACCTGTACCTGGCTCTAGTGACCACTGCTTGTTACTTTCCCATCACTGTCAAAATCCTGACAAAATAACTTAAGGGAGGAGAGGTTTGTCTGGGCTCACAGTTGCAGCAGGCCAGGCCCTTGTGGTAGCAGAGGCAGCTTAGATTGTGGTGGTCTGAGCTTGTTCTCATTGTTGTGGATCTGGAATAAGGGATCTTGGGCAGGAAGCTAAGCAGACGTCATTCTTGCCCCACCTCTGCAGACCACACTGCTGGCCAGGCCTTGTCCCAAAGATTCCACCGTCTCCTAACTTGGGCCCAAGGTTTCACACACAGGAGCCGTGGGGGGTACCTCATATTCAAACCTGAAACAGTGTGTCCCAGAATGCCCATCTGAGCACAGAAAGTGCCGCTTCATGTAATGTCTTGGCAGACCAGGACATTGGTCTCCTTTGCCCTAACATAGGCAAACGCGTCTGAGAGAAGCAGATAGCCAGGTGCCGTGAGCCAGGGTGGGTGCTGTAATCTGGGGTGGGTGCATTATAGTTTGTGCCTGAACTCCTCCTCATGTCTTTGCAGGATCAGCTGAAGCAGTGCTTCTCCAGGCGGGTGCCCGAGGCCAAGGATACTGACACCCTCGTGCAAGAAGCTGACAGCCAGTATGGCACCTGGGCAGATCCACGCCAGAGTGAGGACAGGTAGGACACACTCGAGAGTGCACTTCTCAGACGCCAGGACAGAGTACACACTGACCCGGCAATTTCTGTAACTTAAGGAACTTGTCACAGTAATAGGAGGAGCCTTTGGGGTTGTAAAAATGGTGTTTAGAAAATCCCAAATATGAAGACAATAAAGTATAAAGAAGCCAGGCAGATTCATACAGATAGGAGATTGCAAAGCGGCAGGCAGAACCACGGGGACAGGCTGACCTGCAGACATAGGCTGACCCAAAGAGGCAGAGCCACAGGGCCAGCCCAACTCACAGACACAGACTGACCCACATGGCCAGTCAGACCCCCAGAGTCAGGCAGTCCTGTGTAAACCAGCAGAGCCATAGAGACAAGAGGCAGGTTCAGTGGTGCCATGAGATGGTTTGGGTATCTTGTGGTGAGAAACTGTTCTCAGGCTTGTGGAACCCGTCAGTCTCTACCTGCACCCTAGGTTAACTGCGCATGTGCCCTCACACATTTGTGATGATGCCATCAGATTATAGCGTCAAAAGCTTGTCCTCTCTGCTGGATACTGGAGCTGGCCACTGTTTCGAATGTAGTTTGGGTCACTTGTGTTAAACTCCATGATATGTGTATTTTCCAACTATGAAAAATTGCTAAAGGCCAGCATGCAACAGACCCTGGGTTCCATCCCCTGCCAAAAACCCATAAAACAAACAAGCAAAAAAAAAAACCAAACAAACAAACAAACAGGAAACCTAAAAGCAAAACACAGTATCCACTTCCAATCCCAGCATAGATATGCTTTTAGCATATGTTAACACAGGCCCAAACATCTTCCATGTACAGTTCTATAAACAACATCTGCAGTGTATCCCCCACTTTGTGGACCCTCCTGTCTGCCTGGTGGGGAAGGAACATCTTGGACAGTTATTGCAAAACACTGAAGGTTACCATGGCTAGATCAGGAGGCAGCACCGAGCCCACCCTTCCCTCGTTGGGAGGGGCCCAGGTTGACCGAGATACATTTTCTCAGAGGCACCTTCCTTCTCTACAAAGAGGGCGGGACACTTAGAAGTCAGCCAGGGTTTGTTGAGCATCTGTGCCAGGCACTGCAGTGAACACTAGCCTTGTTGATGGGTTGTGCTAATGTGTACTTCCTGGTCCCATCTTGCAGAACAGGAAACTGAAGTGTCCAGCATGGTGGATTTGACGGGCAGCCTGTGTGGTCACTAGGTTCTGGCTTATAGTGGCAGTGTTTGTATGGTGATCCAGTTCTTGCTTCTAAAGTATAACTTCTTTGTTTTTTCATGGGACTCAGAGTGGTGGTGGCTTCATACCCCCCGCTGGGGGAGTCTGCTGTGTGCTCAGTTCCTGCCTTTGTCGGGAAAGTCTTGGAAGTTAGAGATTTTCCACCCTTGCAGACTATGGACATCATGCTAACCTGGGACACTGAGGCTCAGAGAAGAGGCATGGATCTGCTCAAGAGTATGCATAGTTATGTCTGAGCTGGATTTGAACCTAGACCCCCATCTCTCCTACTAGGAACACCACAGTCCTCTGCTGGGTTATACCACCTGAGCTGTGCTGAGTTCAAACTAGGATTAAAAACGGATGAGAAAAAGAAATAGGGAAACCAAGAAAAGCTTTACATTTTTCCCTTCTCCTGATCTGTGAAATCTATGTTTAAGCGAGCGTTTGGAAGTTTCTGTGAGCATCCCTAAAGGAGCACCTTGCTCTCTATGCCCATCTCATAAGGGTCCCAGGGCTCTGTCCTCCCTGCAGGCCTCATACCTCTGCTTCTGTGTCAGGACCTAGAGACCAGCCCAGGGGACCTCTGTACGCCCAGTGGCTGGTGCCCTCTGCTGTTCTCCAGAGGCACTGCAGCCTCTCAGGGCAGGCTCTCCAGCCTTGGGTAGTGGTGCCCCCTGCTGCTTGGTGAGTGGTACTTCCCTCAGGCTCTGGATTTGCCTGGGTCACAACCCTCCCTGTCCTCCATATTCTAATCGTGATGCTGAGCTGCCCCATCACCGGCTTGAAGGTTCCACTTGAGGGTGCAGCTCAGCTTGGGAGGTGGAGATGGTGAGGGTCCTTCAAGTCAGGCACCACCATGAGCCCTCCTGCTCTGTTTAGAGGTGACATTTCCTAAGCCCTGACCCCTTCATTTGGATGTCTTCAGAGGACAAGGGAAAAGACTGATTGGTTCAGAACTTTTCTATCTTATGTGGTCTGGTCCCAGTGATCTGAGTGGTGTCCAGATATCTAATCATGGGAATGCATTTGAGAAGTTTTGGGGTCCTGGTATTTGTCTGGGCCCCATTCCAGTTCTGCCCCGTCAGCCAGGGAAGGCTGCATCTCTGTGCCTCAGTTTTCTCATCTGTAACAAGGTTCATATTTCATGATGTTACTCTTGCTTTGCGGGCTTGTAGGATTATAGGGTTTTAAATAATTCTCAGTCCTGATGAGTGATGCTATTTCCACATGGTGCCTGGAACAGAGTGGGGGCTCAGTAGATCTCCACTGATTGAGTCAGTGACTGAGTGACAGAGTGACTGACTGACTGAATAACTAAGTGACTGAGTGACAGAGTGACTGACTCACTGAGCCATTGGAGCGATGCAGGTGGCTCCTTGGTCCCCAGTCTTTTCTGTTGGTTATTGGGAGCTGCTTGCTTTGCTCTCACTGCTGCCTAACAGAAATCCAGCCTGACTTGACAACCTTAGTGTCCCCTGAACCATTCCCAATGTCCCGGTGACCATCAAAGGAGTAGATAGAAACGGGTGACACGAATTTACAAACTCCATTGTCATTAAAATCAGTGTTGGTAGTGTATTTGACCAGCAGGTCTGAAATCCCCACTTCTGAGTGTGGAGTGAACCTGAACACCTGTGAGATCTCACACTCTTCCCCAATTCTGAGTATCGGAAGCTCACCCCATTTCATCTCAGCCTCTCTCTCTGCTCTCATTTCTGTTTTGTTTAGTTTCACAGGACCTTACTATGTAGCCCAGGCTGGCCTTAAACCCCTGACCCTCCTGCCTCTGCCTCCTGAGTACTGTGATTACAGTTATGCAAAGGGCACACCCTGTTGCTATCTCCTCCACCACACTGCCAGGCTGGAGCCTCTTGTTCTCAGCAGCTCTTGGGGTACAGGGAACACCCTTCCTGCCCTGCACCTGTCCAGGTGTTCCAGGGGACCAAACTGTCCCTGGCCGTTGAAGGATTACCTGCCAGGACCTCACCTGCTCTGTACCCTGAACACTCAGTGAGCCACACCTTTACAACCTCCTGGAGCCCTGTGACTAGCTTCCTTCTCTTCCATTCCTTGCAGCGTGGCCCCCGAGTCCCCGTCCCCTGACAGCAGTGCATCATCAGCCCGGAGGCAGCCCACAGGCAGCCACCTGTCCTCCTTGTCCTCCCACACGGAACCCACCTCAGCAGACCAGCGAGACAGCTCCAGGGATCGGCGAAACTCCAGTGTGGACCGCTCCAGTTCCGAGTTGGAGTCCACAGATGGTCCAGAGGGACCACCGGACACCTGCCCTGCAGAGAGACGGGACGACTTCTCCTTCATCCATGTAGGTCTGCAGCCAGGGACTGTGCTCCCAGGTGGAAATAGCCATTTCTTATTGAAGGAAGTTCAAACATCTCTGGAGTCATCACCCTCTAGGACAGGCTCTGGATGCCGGGAACCCTTGCCTGTAGCAGGCACAGCACCACGGCCTTTGTAGCACAGGACTGCCCCCTGCCGCTCTGTGTCTTGGGGCAGATGTTCTTACCTCTCTGGTCCCCGGTATCCTTCCCTACTTGTTGTCATCAGCACATTTAGCTCCATACTTCAACTGTGATCACAGGTGTTAAGTTACAACTTGCTGTGACCGTAACCTTCATGAGGGGAGAAAGTCTCATTCTTCTGACTTCTTGCTGGGGAGGTCTGCCTGGGGATTTGCAGTTCTGGCCAGGCAGAGCCTGTGGTCTCTGTGTAGAGTAAAAGTGCAGAGTACCCCAGGTTACCAAGCACGAAAGACTGTTTATAACAACTGTTCCAGGCACAGACCCCATTCCTAGTCCCCCTGGGGCCTCCCCCAGGAAAACTCAGCCTGCCCAAGTCCCAAGCACAGCCACCTAGGATGCCTGCTGTCCTGAGCCCCTGGTTCCACAATGTCCTGCTTAAGTCCCTTCAAGACAAGGAACCCTCCACCAGCCCCACCCCTCCCAGGATGCATCTCTGTAGTCTCCAAGGGTCCCTTGCTCCTGGCACCCAAGCTCCCTAGCCCTATTTTGAGGGGGTTGGTACCCCAAATGACCTAAAAGGGTTTCCACTGGGGACCCCAGAGGGACCTGACAGCCTACATATGGCCAAGGCCTCTCTCTGGGATATCTAGTTCAGAGTAGAGACAGGAAGACCCAAGATGAGCCTTCAGAGCACGGTGGGCCCACCTCTCTAGGTGCATAAGGATTTCCCTAGGTGATGTGATCTGTTATTCATTCAGCAACCATGCTTTGGGGTCTTTGCTGTTGCTGAGCCTTGCTTCAGCTTTGCGTGCTCATCTGCTGTGTGGGACGTAAAACAACGAGTCTTGTTGAACATTCCTTCTAGAACACTGAGCAGCACATTCCTAGAGTCTATCTGAAGCAACAACATCCCCTGCCCACTTTTTAGTTTGGCAAATTGATATGGCCACTGAGTCTTTCTATTTGCTGGTGTCCCTAAGTACGGGGCAAACTGAGGTCCATATGGGATGTCCAGGATGACTTGGGGGTCCTATGGGTCCTATTTGGAGGCTGACTAGGGAGCCCAATTCCTGTGCTGGGCCAGGGCTGCCAAGGACACCCTGTGGACATAAAGCACCTCCCCCTTGATGTTCTGTATGTGGCTTCATTCCTCCTGCCTGGACACTGGGTTATCATGGGGCACTCCAGTGAGAACCTCTCAGCTAAGTGACTCCACAAATACATTTATCATAAGAACTTAGTGAGATGATGGATTCAGCTATTCATACAACAAAAAGGACATTTATTGAGCTCCTGCTGTATACTTAGCGCCCATGCCCATGTGATGTCAAAGGCTGTGAAAGGCATTTTCCCTGTGTGCCAGGCACTATATTTGGGCACTGCCTGATTCTTATGATTGGTCTGTGTGGTTTTCATGGGGAAGTTGAGGCTCGTATTATCTAGTGGGATGTGACATGCTGGCCAGTGCATCTCCTGAGAGCAGTGTCATGTATGAACACCCCTGTGGATGGCACCTTTGACTGACAGCTCCTTTGCTTTTTTTCCCTTCTTTGTCCTTCTTGCCACCCCGAAAGCAAACCCCAGTCCTTGACTCCAGTGCCCTCAAGACCCGGGTGCAGCTGAGCAAGCAGGGCCGTCGCCGGGCGCCCATCTCCCATGCACTCAGGCGCAGTCGGTGCAGTGAGTCAGAGAGCCAGTCTGCACTTGAAAAGGAGTTGGACAGCATGTGGATGTTCAAGGACTCCACAGGTACACCTAGGCCTTGTGTATCCTACCTCTACACCACCATGAACAGCAGGAAGGATGTAGGTTAAACCCTGGGAAGAACTTTCTGACCTTGGGGGCTTTAGAACATTAAAACACAATTATACAGGAAACTGACATTTCCTGCTCTGCAGAACTTGTCAGAAATGGGATCTAAAAAAATGTTTGAAAGCCACGTGTGGTGATGCACATGTGTAATCCCAGCACTTGGGAGACAAGCAGCAGGATTGTCACTAATTAATTCAAAGCCAGCCTGGTCTGTGTAGTGAGTTTCAGGCCAACTCAAGGTTTTTGGAGCTCTTCCAGTCAGCAGAGCCAAATATGCAGTTTAATAGAGCAACGCTCCTGTCTATTCCTTAGACTCACTTGCTGGTCTTTTCCCAGATTCTTGGGTTGAACGATCAGTTTATTTATCATGATTGTCTATGTTTCCCCATACACTGTTGACGGCTTGTTATTCTCTGTGGACTGCTTTGGCTGCACACTATCAAACCTGAGCCACATCTTTTTGTTTGCTTGTTTGTTTTTTTGAGGCAGCATTTCCCAGAAGCCCTGGCTAGTCTGGAACTTGCTATGTAGACCAGGCTGACTTCCATCTCATAGAGATCCACCTGCCTCTGCCTCCTGAGTGCTGTACGCCACCCTACCCAGCTGAGCCACATCTTAAAACAGGTAATTGCCCAGGGAAGGTTAATCCCAGCAGGAAAGCCACCAGATCAAAGAGACAGAGGAGTGGAAAGAGCATTCTGTGTGTGGTGTGAGCACTTGGAGTCACTTAGTCCAGCTGGAATCCCAGGGGTCGGACAGGGCCAGGTCACCAGAGGTCCTGCTTTGCTAAGCAGTTAACCCTTCACCTGTACATGGGGGTCCAGGAAAGACTTTTAAGAAGAAAGGTTTGTTTTGAATTATGGCAGCTGACTGCCCCCCAACCCCTGCCCTACGCCCACCAAGGCTTTTGTTTCTACAAAGCTACAGCAACTTCAGGATTTGCCCTTGGCAAACAGTAGCCTATCACACAGGCTCTGAGCATGGTCAAGTACAGCCTGGCCAGGTACCTGAACAATGCCTGGGGAATCGCCTCTCCCTGGTCCATCCATTCATGTGGGCAAAGGAAAGGTTTAAGTGCCAGGTGAAGGCTGGGGAGATGGCTAGTTGGTTAACCAACTCACAAACACCAGGCCCTGAGTTTGCATCCCTAGTACTCATGTAAAAAAGCTTAGTGCCCACCTGTAATCCCAGTCCTGGGACAGCAGAGACAGGAGGGTCCCTGGGGCTCACTGACCAGCCAGTCCAGCTGAATTGTTGAGTTCAGGTTTAGCGAGAGACCCTGCTTCAAACATAAGGTGGAGAAAGATTGAGAAAGACACTTGACATCAATCTCTGGCCTCCACATCCCCCCCCAACACACAGATATGCATATATATATACACAGAGAGAGAGAGAGAGAGAGAGAGAGTCAGTAAGTAGGTAAATACATGTGTAAGGGCAAGCCAGTCTTCTCCCTGCACACTGTCTTCTGGGCCAAGCTATGCCAAATCACCTAGAGCAGATATAACTTGCTGTAGGGACAGGTACACACCGATCCAGAGGACCAGTCCAGGGGCTGTGAAAGGCTGGGGCTGCACTTTCTGATCATGCCCAATGTCTGCTTTAGCCTGGGAGTGCCTTCCCCCTCCTCACTGTACCCCACCAACCACCAGGTCTTGGGGAGGTGAAAACTCACCTTCCACTCCATGGCCAGGAAGTCTCTGATCCAGTCTCTGACTTGGGCAGTGACACCAGACACAGGAACCCTTGGTACTGCCCCTGCTGGCTGAGTGTGTCTCTGTTTCCTCTCCCCGTTTGCCAAGGATGCCCTGAAGGGGCTGAGTCTGGGGGTCTGCTGGTGCCCTCCCCCAGGAGGGGGCTCTGCCTATGGCCACTGTCTTCTGGCAGGAGGGAGAGTTTGAAAAAGAGAGCACAGGAAGCAGGTCCTAGGGCCTGTCCCCAGGTGCAGTGGACCAGAAGGGATACTAGCAGGGCTGTGGGAGGGCCCCTGCAGTGACACATAGTCTTCTCTTTGCAACAGAAGAAAAGTTGTCCAGGAGGGATGACTCAGATGAGGAGCCATCCAGAGTGGTGAAGATCCCTGTCAGCCATCCACACAGGATGCCTATGTTCCCAGGCATGGACCCCGGAGTGCTGAAGGTACCATGTACTGTGTGTAGGCAGGTGCTCCTGCGCTCCTCCCCATTCACCCTTCCATCTGTCTATTCATCACTCAACCAACATCCCTCCTCTTCCTACTCCTTTCATCTATTCATCTATCGGTCCATTATTCAGCCTCCCTCCCTCCCTCCCTCTCTCTTTCTCCTTCTCTTTGTCCTTTGTTTCACCCTATTTACCCTTCTATCCATCCACTGATTATTACTCAGTCAAGCTCCCTCCCTCTCTTCTTTCCCTTCCGTCTTCTGTCCGTTCATCCATTCAGCATCCTCCCTTCTTCCATTCTTCTGAAATGGGAAAACTCAGAGGTCCTGACAGGGCTCAGCTTCCCGGGGGGAACCGTCTCCCGTGGCCATAGCACATCCCATCATACTGCCACAGGGCTGCAGTCCTGGATCTCACCGGGGCCCCTTCATCTCCACTGTCTTCTGCAAGCCCCCATGTGTTGCTTTTTGTTCTCATGGCTCAGCCTCATGTTTGTAAAGTGGGTCTGTTATCCATGGGTATTGGGGAAACAAATCCAGGGCCAGCACCCCTGCTGTGTGCCTGTGGAATCTGATGGGCAGCCTCGTGTTACTCATGGATGTGGGAGTGAGCTGACTGGAGTGAGCTTAGCAGCTGGGCCTCCACTGTGAACAAAGCTGCAGGAAGATGGAGGGAGTGGGTTTTCCAGGGTCTCTCCCTCTTGAGGGTCGAGGGCTGCTGTTCAAAGCATCGTGATCTCTGATTTTTTCTCAGCCCTTACATTGCCTGCCTGGCTTACGCAGCCTTGAGGTCCCTGTTGCTTTACAAGGCCTCCTGGTGCCTGAATGCTACTGCCTGTCCCCAGATAGACGAGTCACACATGCCTCTTCTCTCTGCAGGCTCAGCTGCACAAGAGGTCAGAAGTGGACAGTCCCAGTGAGACCCTCAGCTGGGCACCCCAGCTCAAGACCCCCAAGTCACCCTTCCAGCCTGGGGTTCTGGGCAGTCGTGTGCTGCCTTCCAGCACAGAGGAGGAGAGGTGAGGGACTGGGGGATAAGGGCACTTCCCGTTCTAGGTCAGGATGTTGTGGTGGGGGAGGGGGTGGAGCTAGAATTCTTGCTTTCCTCTGTGGCTCCCGCAGCTCTTCTGCTAGCTCTGACAGCTGGAACTGCAGCCCAGGAGGGGAGATGGCCCAAATCCACTACCTAGCTCTTCCTCTACCACCTGACCCAGAACTCCAGGCTCTGTTTCCAGGAACTCCTGTCAGGTGCAACCCTCTGTAGATGGATGGGGAAACCGAGGCATTGTGCCTCCTCTTCCTATCTTGGAAGCACCTCTGTCTTGGGAGAAATGGAGAGCCCTGGGAAGTGGGACTGTTATGGAAAAATTCTTAGACTAGCTGAGAGATCAAGCATGTTACCCAGGAGAGAGTCAGAGAACTTTATTATTTATTTATTTATTTATTTATTTATTTACTTACTTATTTATTTATTTATTGAACAGTTGAAAAAAGGGAGGTTGTTGGTTTTGGATTCAAATGTATGAAACCAGGGCCTGCACAGAGTGCTGGCCTGGCATGTGGTAAGCTTTCACCTGAGTGAACAGCTCTGACCCTTGATAGCAATGTGGGGGAGGGGGGGTCTCCAAGTCACTTTTCCCAGAAGCAGCTGAGCTGTCCTGGTCTTGCAAATGGAGTCCTGCCAAAGAACAATAGACTTCTGACAACTGTTTCTGTATAGTTCTTCCATTCACTCATTCATTTATTCATTTATTTATTTTCACATGCATGTGATCCCAGAATGAGCAACAAAGGTTTCCAAAGATGTTCTGGGCCCAGAGCAAAGTACAAGTGAGGTTGTATAGGACTTTCCACGCCATCACTTCATGGCTGACAGCTGGGCCCTATGGCTCTTTTCATGACGGCCATGTTAGCTCAGGAAAATTCCTGAGTTACCCTTGTCATCATAGTTTACAAAGTAGGCATCCCACGCATGGGTCAGAGCATTTGCTCTGTAGCTAGGCCAGACTCATTGCAGTAAGAGTTGGTCAAACGGTCATGGAAGTTTACATAAAGACAAGCACCACAGGCAGAAGTTCAGCTGTCTGCCACATTTGACCTTCACTTTTGTCAGAATAATTAGACCAGGTGTGTTCTTAGACCACTTGGTGAACTTTCCATTTCTAAGTTTCACATCCTTATCAATAGTTAGACATATGAGCTTCACAATATTACAGAGTAATAAAACCTTTCAGGGTAGTGAAAATATCACAGGGTTGCATTTCAAGACATCTATCTGTGAGGTAAAATAAGAAGAAACTTCAAATGGTCTAAGCTTAGAAGAACATTATATAAGAATACAGTTTGGTTAAAGAATAAACTTGTTTCCGGGAGTGGTGGTACATACCTTTAGTCCTAGCACTTGGGAGGCAGAAACAGGCAGATCTCTGTGAGTTTGAGGCCAGCCTGGTCTACCATGCTAATAGCTAGTTCCATGCCAGCTGGGGCTATAGGGAGACCCTATCTCAAAAAGACCAAAAAAAAAAAAAAAAAAAAGAATATAATTTCTCCTTCTCAGAGTAGGCCTAACTCTGGTCAGCTGCCCTTCATGGTTTGGCCAGGCTGATTGCATGCACAGGAGAGCCCCGTGCAGCCCCAGATGTGCCTTTCAGGCCAGACTTGGTTGTGGCTTGGGATGGTGGTCAAGAGCAAGAGCTCTGTGGGCTAGAAAAGCCACTCGACCTCTCTGTGCCTCAGTTTCCTCATCTGTGAAACTGGCTTGCCAACCCCATAACCTTCTGGGGTGGTCGTGAGGATCAAACAGGAAGTATGTGCAGAGCCCTTCACAGAGCCTGGAGTATTAAACGTGGCATAACAGAAGGTGGAGTTATGCTGAGCAGGTAGTGTATAAAATCAGGAATTGGAATTAATAAATGCTACAGAAGAGCGGGAGGCAGCAAACTGCAGCCCACAGGCTAGTTCCCATCTACTACCTGCTGTGTCAATAGTTTTATTGGCATCCAGCCACCATTCACTTAGGTACTGACTGTGGCCACTTCTGTGTTAAAAGCTGCATGCACCTTGTAGCCCACAGCTGCACATTCCCTCCCTGGCTATGGGAGCCCTGGAGGGGATGGGCTCTTAGCACATAGCTGGGGAGGAGAGCACAAAGAAAGGCCTCCCGAACACAAACATTTTCCAGGTCCTGATGGAGGCATGGGTCTCTTGTGCATTGAGGGGCAATAAGAGGTCTGTGTTCCTAGGAGCCGCAGGTAGGGCTCATGGCCAGGGCATGGGGAGAAGCAGCAGGATGAGGGAGAGTGACAGGCTCTGTTGAGGTGTGCCCACTGACCTGGGAATGACCAGAGCTGGGGCTCCTCTGTGGGCCTGGGCTTGGATTTTCACTGTCAGGTGAGGTTGGGCTGAAGTCTGGGGACCCCAAGCCTGTCTGCTCAGGCTGGTGGGCAGATCAGCTAGAGTGAGGCTTGCCTCCAGACCTCCATAAGCACCTCGTCCCTTGTCCATGCACTGCTCCAACTAGTTCAGTAATCTCCCCGAGCCCTGGGTCAGGGACTTTCTCAGTGAGACCTAAAATAAGTCATATATACACACCTGGGGGCCTCACCTGACTGTGAAATCTCCTGATTCCAAATCTTCAGAGACCCAGGAAGGAGCTCCAGTTTAAATTCAAAGTCTCTCAGTTGCTGGCCAAATTTCCTTTCTTTCTAGGAAGTCAAGTCTTTTTCTATTTAGGCCTTCAACTGAAAGGGTAAGGCCCACTTGTGGTGGCCAGGCAACTGCTTTACTCCCAGTCTGCTAATTTAAATGTTGATCTCATCCCCTCCCTAAATTATAGAAACATCTAAAATAATATCTGACCTAATATTTGATGTGAGGATCTAGACAAGGTGACTCATAGAATTAAGGTATTAATTTCTATCACAGGCATTTACATGGATAGAGAGGCTGAAGGGTAGATGGATGACTGGGTGGATGAACGGGTGGCTGGAAACACCTTCATATAAAGTGATTTTTCAGAGCTGTGGACTATTTCATAGAGTGGACTCACTTGACTCCTCTGCATTCCCCATTATTGGATCCTTTTCTACTTCTGCTTGCTGGTCACATTAACATGACATCTTTCCACCTGTGGGTGCTCAGCTCAGTCCCAGCCTCAGCATGGCAGCTGGAGGGCCTGGTATTATGCCACTCTGCCCTCAAGGAGCCCATGGTCTGGTCCTACTTGACTCACTGGCTTTGGTCTCAGGTCAGAGGAGCCCTCGCCCCAGTGGTTAAAGGAACTGAAGTTCAAGAAGAGGCAGAGCCTGTATGAGAATCAAGCCTGATCAGGTAGGATGGGCTCTGCTGGGGAGGCCTGGGACAACCCCACAGCCTCAGGACAGGGCACCCAGGTGGGGCACAGAGAACCTGGGGTGGAATGCCCAAGGAATGAGAACCCGGCAGGGACCCGTGAGGTGGGAGCCTGGGGGATGGGCATCAGTTGGCCAGAGCTCTGACCTCATGACCTTGGCCAGCCCTCCCAACTGCCCTTTTTGAAAAGAAAGGTTGGTGCATCAAAGGTCAGCTTAGCTAGAAATGGTTATTTTATTTTAATATGGAGAATGTATTCATGAAACTGTGATTAAAATTTAATTTGAGAAAATATATGTAATCAGCCCTTCAGGAGCCACAGGAGATGCATTCCAAGACCCCTGCTCAGAGGCTGCGGTGAAACGGCCTGAGGTCTGCATGGAACACACACATGTCCTGTACACTTAAATCATCGCTATGTTTTTTTTTAAGTTTGTGTGTATGAGCATTTTGCCTGTATGTATATAAGTGCACCACATGCATGCAGTGCCCAAGGAGGCCAGAAGAGGGTGTTGGATCCCCTGGAACTGGAGTTACTGACAGTTGTTAGCTGCTGTGTGGGTGCTGGGAACTGAACCTGGGTCCTCTACAAGAGCAGCCAGTGAGTGCTCTTAACCACTGAGCATCTCTCCAGTTCTTATCTCTAATTAAAAATCAATTTGTGTGTGTGCATGTGTGTGCGTGTGTATGTGTGTGTGAAAAGGACAACTTTGTGGAGTTATTGCTGTCCTTCCACCTTTATGTAGGTTCCAGGGATTGAACTCAGGTCTCCAGGCTTGTGTGGCAAGCCCCTTTACCCTCTGAGCCATCTTACTGGCTTTGAATCATCTCTTGATGATTCCTAGTACTGAACACAGTCCCATACTGTGCGATCCTCCTCCTTCTACCTAGACAGTGCTGACAGAGGCAGCTTGTGCTCAGTAGAGGTGCACACTGGGCTGCTGCAGGGTATGGGGGTGGGGGAGGTGGCACAGACAGAAGTGCTGAGTTTATTTAAGGGTCTCATGCCCAGACAGGCCCTGTGGTGTACTCTGATTTCCTCATCTGCAGAGTGGATCAGCAGTGGCTGTAGGGACCCCAGGGCTCCTAAGAACACCCTAAAAGTACTTGCCACCTGAATATGGGGTACCTAGAGGTCAGCCGGGGTGCCATCAGGAGACAGTCACCTCCCGAATCCCAAAAAGCTCCAATCTTGCTGCAAAGCCTGGTGGGGTGGACACAGTGCTCTTTAGACTCTACACCCACCTTGGTTGCTGCTCTTTTTCATGCTGGGGATGGAACCTGGGGCTTCATCCTAGGCCGATGCTCTTCCCCCAGCCTCACCCCGGGTCTGTCTGTTAAACTTTAGATAAGTTAACAGTAGACTGTGGACACATCCTGTGCTTCGCATGGGGATTTACAGAGAAGCACATAGTATGTGTCACATATATGGATGGAGGCGTGTGTGTGTGTGTGTGTGAAATCGAAAAGATAAATAAATCCCCAAATAAGTCTACGCCAAATCTCCTTTCTGGGGCACATCAGAAAAAGCTATTTGTTTGTGTTGTGGCAGCACTGGGACGGAGCCCAGGGTACCCTGCATCCCTGAACCACACCTCAGCCCCAGAACAGGCTTGAAGGCCTGATGGAGAGAACTAAGGCCAAATGCTCCCTCCCTTACACTAGGGCTGTCTTCCTCTGCAGACTGGACAGCGCCACCTCCATCAACAGAGGCCTTAACCTCCAGATATCTGATGTGAGAGCCCACAGAGCCCGCAGAGCTGAGCCACCTGCTCCTCCACGGCTGCTTCCATGCCTAGGCCTTTCTGCCCTGGGACCACTGTGCTGAGCCTCATTCTGGTTCCACAGGAAGGCTGGCCTGCCACCACCACCTGCTCCAGTCCTCAGAGGGAACTTTCAGAAGTGTCCAGGCCGGGCGCTTGGCCTTTCATGTGAAAGGTGGCCTTTCTGCCATCTTCAGACACCTCACAGGGCTCTGGATGGTCAGGGGGAGGCCAGAGGACTGTCTCCCTCAGTTGGGAAAGGGACTCCTGGCCCTGCACCCCCAGGCTGTTCCTTTGGAAGGTCATTAACAAGAAAGTTCGAACTGTTCACTTCCTGCTAGGGCCATGATCCAAGGCATTATCCTCCAGGGTTGGGGGTTTGACTTTTTTTTTTCAATTTTAGACAGGCACTTCCATACCCAGACAGGAATCAGCATTTGAAATTTATAAACACTTGCCCCTCTCCCTGATTCTGTTGGACATACTCATTCTTCCTGAGGGGCTGTGTGCCCAGCTGACCTGTGTCACTGAAACACTTTTATGTTTGCTTTAGAAGGTGATAAAGCAATAATAATCAGCCAATCTTTGAAACTTGATATGGATATATGTTTTTAGGTTAAAAGACGGCAGGAAGGGAGTGTGAGAGTTCAGTGTCTAGTTACCTCGTTACTCATCCCTATAGAAGCATTTTACAAGTTCCAGTTCTTACCCTTGCACACCCCAGCGACTTTCCTTTGGGGCTCTTATTTCTATGGGGTGGCCTTTGCTCCTCAGCCCTGTGTCATATACAACAGCCCCATCAGTGGTGTCCAGGTCACTCAAATACCAGCCTTGCCAGGGTGTCTTTCTCTGTCTTTTTTCTGAACATGTGTCCTGCTAGAGGGAGACCCTGACTAGGTCAGCCTCAGAATAGCTTCGGGAACAAGGGTTTCTTTTGTTTTTTCCATCCCCCCTCTCCACCTGCAGATATGACTCCCCCCAGCCCAGTGCTGTCTGTTCTTGGTCCAGGTTCCCATTTTACTCCGAGCCCTTCTGTGGCTGGGAGCACCGGGCCAGATGCTGAGCCACAAGGAGACATCAAGTCTCTTGCTTCTTGCTAGCTGTGTGCTCATTCCTGGGCATCTCCATGTTTCTGTGCTCTGGATACCTTCAACTCCATCTTGCTTTATTTTCGGAATCCTCAACCCAGTTTCTGAAACCCATGTTCTAGTCACCCCAGACGTGCCCGCTTGCACCTGGGAAACCTATGCTTTCCTTTCTTTTCCTTCTGCCATATTTGCCTTGAGAGACCCCTGGTGATGGGCTCGGGCAGTTCCAGACCAGCCTATGGTTGTGCAGGGTCTGGGGTTGACTGTTCTAAGAATGCCTGCATGTCACTGCTAGATATTATGCCCCCCAGCCCAGATTTCTGAGGTGAAAGTTGTTCTTGATAAATCTGTTATTGCAAATGGTGTCAAAGCTGGCCTCTCCCCTCCCTGGCTGCCTCTCTGACTTCTCATCTCTGCCCCGTGTCTCATCAAAGCTTCGTGTGTCTGGGTTAGGGCAATCACCTGTTCCCATGGTAAATGGTGAGACAGACAGAAAAGCCCCACCCACATCCCACCCTGGGTACCCTGCTACTCACCCCATCAGCACCCAGCCTCTTGCAGGGGCAGCCTTACACATCTGTGTTTGTGAGTCTGGCCCTTTGTCACACCAGCCCACCTTCTCTCCTTCCCTGAGCTAGTGGTCAGCGGGTGTCCATCCTCTGAAGTCACTTGGAGGTTCTGTCACTCCAGATGTGCCTTGCTCACTAGTTCTAGGTTTTTGTTTGTTTAGTTTTGAGATCCATTTTGTGTTTTACAGTAATTTTGATATAGTGACCAAGTTCAAGGACTTCCTTTAAAAAATACTGCTAGGGGCTGAGGTATGGGGCTCAGTTGGCAGAGTGTTTGCCTAGCTTACACAACGCCCTGGATTCCATCCCCAGTACCACAGAAACCAGATGTAGTGGTGAACACCTATAATCCCAGCACTCAACAGGCAAATCTGAAGTTCAGGGTCATCCTCGGCTACATGGCGAGATGGAGGCCAGCCTGGGCTACCTGACACTGTCTCAAACAAAACAAAACAAAGTAACACACAGCTGATTTTTTTGTGTGTGTGTGTACATTTAAATTTTTTTTATTTTATGCTGGGCGTGGTGGCACACGCCTTTAATCCCAGCACTTGGAAGTCAGAGGCAGGCAGATCTTTGTGAGTTCGAGGCCAGCCTGGCCTACATAGTGAGTTCCAGGACAGCTGGCACTACAAGGAGACCCTGTCTCAAAAAAGACAATTTTTTTTTTATTTCATGTTTGAATGTATTACCTGCATGAAGGTAGGTGCACCCATGTCATGCAATGCCATAGACTTCAGAAGAGGGCATTGGATCCCCTGGAACTGGAGTTACAGATGGTTGTTAACCGCCAGGTGGGTGCTGGGAATCGAACCCAGGCCCTCTGCAGGAGCAGCCAGTGCTCTTAACCGCTGAGCCATCTCTCTAGCCCCACAGCTGATGTTTTGATCAGAACTACTTTCTTCCCCCTGTGTGGAAGGGGCCAAGGTGACAGGAAGAGCTCTGTATTAAGTATACTGATAGGCTTGTGGAGCACAAAATTCCTAGCCAGTCAGTCATGTTTGACCCAAGTACACCTGCCAGAGGGGGGAAAAAAAGATAAATGTGAGATCGTCTGGCTGATCATTGCCTGATGTCCACCAGCTTGATTGGTTAAGAAGCTGATTCAATTCCATGTGAAGACCCACACACTGACCTTGAACCTGGCCAGGGCAGACTCAGATCAGCACCTGCATTTCTCTTTTACAACCTCATTCCCTCCAGTGCCCTAGAGCCAGCAGTCTCGCTGGGTCAGGAGTGATGCCCCTAGCTCAGGTTGGTCTACCCGGTCCCACTTACAGTCAGTGCGATGAAGTGAGAGACTTAATATGCCTTAAACATGTGTGCAGTGCAGTCACCTGTGTCACCTCACCCTGCCTGTGTCACCTCACCCTGCCTGTGTCTGGCCAGCCTCTGCTGAGTCCCACGGGTGCTCCATCTTGCCACTCTTTACCCATCAGCAGTTTCATAGCTGGCCCCTGGCTAGGTCTGTATCTCCCCCCTCCTGTAGATAAGTGTTCTCTCTCAGGGTCCTTGGTCTCATGACACAGAGGCCTTTGTCCTGTGAGATCTCCTGGCACTGTGGGGAGTCCTTGGTGCCCACTGCAGAGAAACCCCATGGTCCCGAGGAGTTGGGAGATTCAAGTGAGGTTGATCTAGTGGCCTCAGGGTTGGCTAGGATGTAGAAAAGGGCAGTCAGATGGTCATGTTTTCCAGGTGTGCAGGTCACGCCATATACCTCTAAACACACGTGCTTTCCTCTGTGCACGCCCAGAAGTGAGGCCAACTCCAGAAAGCAATGCTAAGAAGCAAGAGCAGAGATGGGCCGAGATCCTAAACCTCAGTGAATAAGCAAGGGTTTGGACAATCCCCAGAACCTTTCCTCAAGCACACCTGGGCAGTCCTGCATGGCAGTGAGGGCTGCCTTGTCTATCCCAGCTTTGAGATGTTTCATCCTGATGCCCACCTGGGTCTAGGCTTGATTGAAAAGAGAAAAGCCACCCCAACCTGATTTTACGTTCAGGCAAGTCTCTCTGGTGACAGACATTTGTGCCCTCCAAATGTGCCTTCACCCCGCCACATGTTGAAACATGAGAGCATGCCCTCAAAACATCCTTACTGTATGACATTGTGAGACAGTGTTGAGGTGGTGGGGCCCCGGGAGGCCAGTGGGGCCCACTCTACATGTCCCGGTGATCTGCCTTGGCCTGGATCCCATCAGTGAGGGAGGACACCGCTGACCATGTTCCAGAAGTCTGAAGCCATGTCAGGAAGGACAACACATCAGCTATCCCTGTCCTCTGGGCTCCCCACCGCACTCTAGAGCTTTCTTTTGTCTGGGTGGCTCCTGAAGGAAGGGGGCACCTCACAACCTGCACCCTTTGCCCTCCCAGAATCTCCTTAAGATGTTAATGTCACCTTGCTGTGACATCTTTGACAATCCCTGGCAGAATCAAGCCAGCTAAAAATCTCTGTAGAACAATCTGTGCTTTTTAATGATTTCATCCAGTGTCGCCTTATAGATCCTGTTGTACGGGGCTCACAAAAGTAATATATTGTGATACCGACGGTATTTTGTACCAAGCTGTTTCTATATGCCATTGTTTAGGATGATCATGGTCTTCACGCTTTGTATGGTGGGATGGGAGAATGGCTGTATATATATAAATAGAGGTTATATTTTCCTAACTGCTCTTCTGGGTCCCGCCTAGAGTGTTTGAATCATAATAGGGAAGGGCTCCTGTGGTGAGCCCAAATGGTACACGTCTGGCCCACAGTGCACTGGCAATTGCCTCACCAGTTCACAGACTGCAGGACTTGGAATGGAAGGCAGATGGTGGGTACTGTAGCCAATCCCAGAAGGAGCCCAACTGCGTGACTGAGAATTCTTCTAGAAAAACGTATATTTTTACTGTCAAAACAAATGGGACTTCTGGACTTCACAGCTATGCGACGCCTCCCGGACTTTTATATTTTGTCACAGTAAAGAGGTTTCATAGCACAGACAAGCAGTTGGGAATCCAGCCGACTGCACTAACCCTATGGACTGCATGCACACAGTGTTGCACTCAGACTCTGAAAATAGCAAATAAAGCTTTTGTGCCAGTTGCACTGGAGAAGCCTCGTGTCCATGAATGAATGATGGGGTCTCCTGGGTCCTTCCTGCCCTTGCGCACTGAGTCAGGCTGTCCTTTGTGCTGAGCTGGGGCCAGGCGGTAGGAGGGGCTGCTGGGGACCTGGGATAGGTGGCCATCCATCAGGGAGTTATGGAAACGAGGCAGTGTCCACAGAGGCCCATGAGGGGCTGAGTCCTCACCTGCCCACTCCTGCCGTCTCTCCTGCTGGTTCTCCGTAGATGGGGGTAGTGATGGCAGTGTTCATGGGCAGAAGCCCCCCAGGTGGGTTATACCCTCAGAGGCCATTGGCAGAGGTGAGAGGCATTCTTGGCTCCCACAGCAGGGGAAGAGATGCTAGGGCCATTGGTGAGTAGAGGCTAGGGTCAATAACCCATCCAAGGATGCTAATCAGTAATCTACCCAGGAATGTTGATCAATAACCTACCCGAGGATGCTCTTCCATATCCTCTCCAAGGGTGCTGCTGATCAATAGCCTACCTAAGGATACCATATCAGGGTTCTGTCGAGAGACAAAATGGATATAATGACTATTAAAGGGGATTTATTAGATTGGCTTCCTCGATATAATTTGGGTGGTCTAACCATAGCTGTGTTCATATTGGAGGGGCTGAGACCTGGTTTCTCTTCAGTCCACAAGGCAGGATGCCACAGCAGTCCTGGTCTGGTGCTGAAGGCCTGGAGGATTCCGTGTCTTCAGTCCAGATTAGAAGACCACCGAAGAAGCTGGGTTCTGACACAGTAAAGAGCAGTGATGGGGCGGCAGTGCTCCCCAACATGATGTAAAAGCAAGTGGGTGAAAGCGTCCTCTAAACATCCTCAGGTCTAGGCCGCCCACTTTTAATTTGATTTCTGGCTGTGATAAAACACATCAAGAAGCAGCGTAGGGGAGAAAGGGCTTGCTTTGTTTACAGTTCCAGGTTCTAGTCCATCAGGGGGGCGCAGGGTCAAAGCTGGAACTTCAAACAGCTCGTCACATCACATCCACTGTCAAGAGCAGAGAGATGAGAGCAGGTGTGCTCACTAGCTTGTGCTGGGCTCATACATTCGGGACCCTCTGCTTAGGAAATGGTGCTGCCCACGGTAGGCTGGGTCTTCCTGCTAGTGTAGACCTGCCCACAGGCCAACCCAGAGCAGACAGTCCCTCCTTGAGACTCTCTTCTCACGTGAGTCTGGGTTGTGTCAAGTTGACAATTAGAGTTGACCATCGCATATCACTCCTTTGTGTCAACTTGACACACAAGCATCACTTCTAAACAATATAACCTTCCATCCCTTGGCTCCCAAATCTCATATTTTTCATAATGTAAAATACAGTCCAATTTTAAAAGTTCAAAGTCTCAACCGTGAACTCCTGTAAAATGAAAAATAAGTTACATACTTCCAACAGAAAATGGCATACAATAACGTTCTTAGGCTAGTTTTCCCTTTCCTGTGCTCAAACACTGACCAAGAGCAGATTAGGGAGGGGGCTGTTTCATCTTACAGTACTGTCCTTCACTGAGGGAAGCCAGGGCAAGGATTCAAGGCGGCCACCTGGAGGCAGGAGCTGAAGCAGAGACCACGGAGGAGCGCCGCTCCCCGGCTCGCCGCCCCTGGCTTGCTCAGCTACTTTTCTTCTACAGCCCAGGCCCATCTTCCCAGAGATGGTACCACTCCCAGTGGGCTGAGTCCACCTACATCAACTAGCAATCAACAAAATGTCCCAGAGATGTAAATTTGATGGAGGAAATTCCTCAGTTTTGATTCCCTCTTCTCAGTTTGTGTCAAGTTCACAAAACCCAGCACAATTATTATTCCAAAAAGGGAAGAATCCAAGCCTCACAAGGAGCAACCAGATCAAAACAAAACCCAAATCCAGCACCTTAAATACCAAAAATTCTTTTTGAAAGTGTCTCTCTATAGCCCCAGCTAGCCTGGAACTCGCTATTTAGAAGGCTTGCCTTGATTTCACAGTGATCACCCTGCCTCCGTCTCCTGAGTGCTGGGATTAAAGGCATGCGCCACCACACTCGGCTAAATACCAAATCCTGTAGCTCCAATGTCCAGTATCTGGGGCTCCTCATACTCTCGAGACTTGACAGCCCTACCTGCCAGCTCTGCCACCTGCAGCACACGCAGCTTTTCTCTTGGGCTTAGGCAGGCCCCACTGCGTACCTGCAGCTCTACTTGTGGATGTCTCTTGGTCCTGGTGTCCACACTATCATAGAGTCTCCATGGCAACTGAGGCTTCATCTTCACAGCTCCACACAGTGGCCTCTCAGAGGGACTCTGACTCTGCCACATGGGTCCAGGCCTCAGCCGCTCTCCGTGACCCCCTCCATCTTGCATCTTTCATGCCTTCAAAATTAGTACTAAGCGGACAACACTTACATAGCCAGGTTCTACTGCTGGCTGGGGATGCGGCCTGGTCCCCTTGGACCACAGCTGTATCAGCATCTCAGTGCTGACCACCTCTGTGCTGACCCCGAGGAAACACTTTCCTGTTGTCCCAGTGAATCATGGGAGGTTTCACTTCAGAGATGCTGATCTCTTTAACAACCACAGCTGTGTCTGATGAGCACACAGCAACACTTAGCCAACCCATCACCCACAGTTCCAGCCCTCTTAATAAGTTACGTATTCCTCTCTAAACCTCATGAGCCAGGCCTCAACTGTCTGCAGTCTCCAGGATTTGTCTTCCAAGCACCCACAAGAACAACCCACTAAGCTCTGCCCACAGTACTCAGCAGGCCTTTCCAGCCCCAAATTCCAAAGTTCTCCCAAATAGTACAAAGGTATAAAAGCCACATGGTCAAGTTTATCACAACAACCCCACTTCCTTGGGCCCTAGTTTCCTTTCTGTGATAAAAGTACAACAAAAAGCAGCTTAGGAGAGAAAGGGTTTATTTGACTCACATTCCAGGTTACAGTCCACTGAGGAAAAGCCAAGGACCGCTCCGCTGGTCACATGACACCCCAGTCAAGCACAGAGAGACAAATGTGTACATCCTCATTTGTCTGTGCTCAGTTCCATTTCTTCACTCAGATGGATACAGGTCAGGACCGTTGGCCTAGGGAATGGTGCCACCCACATTAGGTGGGCCTTCCCACGTGAGTTAATTAAGATAATCCCCCACAGATATTTTGACTGGCCAACCTAATCCCTCACTGAGACTCTTTCCAGATAATTCCAAGTAGTGTCAAGTTGACAATTATGATTGACCAGCAAGGTGGGGCTTCATACTTGAAGTAACCCAAACTAAATGATCCCTCACGGGAATGCTCAGCAGCCAACCTAATCTAGATACTCCCTCACAGGCACACCCAGAGGCTTACCTACTCTAGATGCTCCCTCACAGGCAGCAGGACTGATGCTGACAACTGTGGTTATGATGTGGCCTGACAAAGGGCACCACACTATCCCCACCACTATCTTTCCCCTGGCATCCCCAGAAGGTGGCAATGCCCCCACCCAAGTGACAGGGGAGGAGCCTGCTCAACTTCACCCCCATGTTAGAAAGTGACCATTGGTTTGAGCTGTCAGTGGCAGGCAGGGTCCTCAGGGGATGAATAAAGCATAGCCAATGTGATGAGTGCTGTGACCTCTTTGAGACAGGGTCTCGTGTAGCCCAGGCTGGCCTCAAACTTGCTGTGTAGCCAGGGTTACTCTTGAACTTCTGATCCTCTTGTCTACACCTCCCAGTGCTGGGATTCCGGGACACACTGGGCAGTGATCTCTTTTGTTTGTTGTTGATCCTGGAAGCCAGGGCCTCCCACGTGCTAGGCCGGCACGCCACCTCTGACTATATCCCCTCCTACATGGTCTCAGCAGCTCCAGGAGAGAAGTTCTGTATAGTTCTGGATGGTCATCACAGGCTCAGTTGTAGACACTTGGACCCAGCTGTTGGTGTTCTTTTGGGAGGCTGTGGAGTCTTTAGGGAGTGGGGCCTGGCTAGAGGAAGTAGGTTGTTGGGGGCGGGTTCTTAGGGTTATCCTGTCCTCCTTGATCCCTTCCTGTATCTCTCTCCCTGCTTCCTGCCTACCTTGAGGTCTAGAACTTTCTCTGCCCAGCACCATGTTCTCTGTAAGTGCATGGAGCCAAGAAACCCTGGCCTGAGCTGTCTGAAATTCTGTGAGCCAATATAAGTTCTCCCTGGTTGTTTCTGTCAGGTACTTTGGTGTTTTGGTCACAGTGACTCAATAGTAACTAATACATTTTCATGGAGCTGCGGAGATGGCTCATTGGGTAAGAGCACTTGCTGTGCAAGCACGAGACCTGAGTTGGAATCTCCAGCACTCTCATAAAAAGTCAGTGGTGGCCACATGTGCATTTGTTGCCCTAGTTGGGGAGGCGGGCAGAGACAGGGGGCTCACTGGGGTTTGCTGGCTGCTGGCCCAGCTCCAGGTTTGCTCTCTAGGAAATATGGCAGAGAGTGACAGGGGAAGACGCTGGTGTCCTCCCCAGGCCTCTGCACACACCTGCACACATCCACATTACACACATACACACACACACCCCTCATACCTACACCCGCACCCCTCATACATACACACACCCCTCATACAAACACACACACCCCCCACACATACACACACACCCCTCATACCTACACCCGCACCCCTCATACATACACACACCCCTCATACAAACACACACACCCCCCACACATACACACACACCCCTCATACCTACACCCGCACCCCTCATACATACACACACCCCTCATACAAACACACACACCCCCCACACATACACACACACCCCTCATACCTACACCCGCACCCCTCATACATACACACACACCCCTCATACACACACAAACACACACCCCTCACACACACACACCCCTCACACACACACCCCTCTCTCACACACACACACACCCCTCACACACAACTCACACATCTCATACACACACACACACACCTCATACATACACACACACCCCTCATACACAAACACACACCCCTCACACACACACACACCCCTCACACACACACACACCCTCATACACACACACACACACCCCTCATACACACACACACACCCTCATACACACACACACACACACACATACACACAAACACACACATACACATCTCATACACACACACACACCTCATACATACACACACACCCCTCATACACACACAAACACACACCCCACACACACACCCCTCACACACACACACCCCTCTCACACACACACACACACCCCTCACACACACACACACCCCTCATACACACACACACTCATACACCAAAAAAAAAAATCCACTTGTGGCTGTGGTTGTGATAATTCAGTGACTCACTCAGAGTCATGGGGAGCTGTAGGTTCCAGAGTTCGGGGGTCATCCGCAGCATACCACCCTTTCCAGGGGATCCAGTGTAACCAGTCCCAGGTGGACCTGAGGATTTGAGCCCACAGCCAGCAGGTTCTCTCCTTTGCCTCCACAGCTCATTCATTCAAATCACAGGCAAAATTATATTTTTGCAGATACTTAACATGCCTGGATATACTTTTTAAATTTTTAGGTCATAAATAGGTTGTCTATTGAGGTCATCTTTATTTATTCTCTTCAGAGTCAAGGAAATCATTGAACCAGCCTCTTCTCTGCTGTGTGACGCGGCTAAGTAACTTGGTTGGCCTCTCTGAACTCAGCTTCTTCATCTTTAATTATGAAGATCATCATCCTGTCCTAAAGATGGAAGAATGCAGACTTCTCACAAACCCAAGTGTGTCTTACATGTAGTAGGTCTTCAATGAATGGCTGCTGTGACACACGCTTACAGCCCTGAGAGGGTGGCCAGTCTTCACTGGCGACAGGGTGGCCCTTGGAAATGGCAGTATTGCTTTACACTGACTTTGGAAAGTACATTTGAGGTGATCTGACTCAAATTTCAGCCACTGGGCACATGGAAGGGGGGGGATTCTGGGGTCCCTTGTTTTAAGATCTGGAGTCTTTCTAAACGATGTTGAGAATCCCAGTAGGAAAATAACACCAAGAAACCAAAAAAGAGGAATTAGTGGTCACTGGAAGCTTTGTGCCCCCATCTAGCCTATCAGGCCTCCCACAAAGCCACCCGTGAGCTGGGTCAAGCCCCATTTCCTGCCTGGGTGGAACAGCAGATCCCTATGTGAGGAGACACCGCAGTTGCAGAGCTCCTGAGCTCTGTGGAGGGAGTGGTTGGGTGTGGGGTAAGGGATGCCAGTCCAGCCCCTTCTTCACTGTGGCCTAGGGAAATGGGCTCACTTCTCTGGGTCTCTGGGACTCCTGTAAAACGGGGCTTCTGATCCCATTGACTGGGCCAGGTTCAGTGCCCAAGGCAGGAGGTGCTCAGCTAATGTTTGTCGAATGACTGAATAAGCGCTGTGGATCTTGATTCATGGCCATGAGTTATGGGCAGCAAAGGGCCACACCACACTTTGATTCCAGTTGTATCAGCACTTGGTGCTACTGGGTGGACCCGGTAACCTGGTTCTCCTCTGGTAGAAAGCAGAAGTGTCCCTGGAGAGATGGCAGCGCAGCTTAGCGCACCAGAGCAGGCTGCAGCCAGCAAGAGCCATGGAGGCCTTGGGGGCAGCTACGAGGTACTGGGCCTTGAGGGGACCTGGGGCCCCAGGCTGAGGACAGCTCCCAGCCAGACAGCCACCACCCTTCCAGGCAGTAGAGCCTGGAGGAAGCTGTTCTGAGTGGCCCTTCTCTCCCAACCCTCTACCATAAACTTCACTCATGGCTTTGCTGTATCTTTCCTCATTCATGTCACCATCTAAATGATGGTATGAGTCACCCACACCTCGCCTGTCTGGGTGGAACACAAAAGCACTAGGCTTCAAGTTCTATCTCTCTTGTGTGCCCTTAACTGCATTTCTTGACCTCTCTGGGCTTTGACAGCTCCATCTTTAAAGTGGAAATGATGCCTGCCAGCCTTGGCCCCAGAAGCACGTCAGGCAGACTCCGGAGCATGTTGCTGGCCCTACCCCTTAAGCTGTGCTGGGGCCTTGGAGGGAGCAGCTGAGGGGCCAGCAGTGTGGGGGGTGAGGGAGTGTACAGGGTGGGCATTTCTGAAGATGGCCTGGTGCCTTTAGCAGGAGAGAAGGAGGCAGAAGAGGGCAGGCAGGAGGTTAGCTGCACAGACCTGCCCATTATTGCAATCAATATCTGTTAAATGGGGTGTTCCCCTCTGTATTGCAATCCCCCTTTACTGGTTTGAGGACCTAGAGGCATTCCCCTCTGTGGCCACCAGGGGGCAGTGCATTCCTGCGTGACTGGCCTTGGAGAGCAGGGCGCAGATGAGGGACCCTCTGATATTCCAAGACCAGGAGCCCTGCAGGGGCTGGTGGTCAGGCCACTGCCCTTCCAGGTGACTGTGTATGAGCTGGAGAACTTCCAGGGCAAGCGGTGTGAGCTCTCGGCAGAGTGCCCCAACCTCACCGACAGCCTGCTGGAGAAGGTGGGCTCCATCCAAGTGGAGTCAGGACCGTGAGTACCTGCCTGTACCAGTGCTCTCCCTCCCCTGCCTTCCAGAGCCAGAAGTTCAGTTCTAGCCCCAGATATGCCATGGGGCCTTGGACCACTCCTTGTCCCTCTCTGCCTCAGTTTCCCCATCTGTGAAATGATAGCAGAACTGTGATCGAAAAATCCTAATTTTAGATTCCTGTAGTGCGTGGCAAGGTACATTGGAGCAATAGGGAGGCAAGTCAGTGCCCAGCTAAGCATCTGAATACTAACTTAATGTCCAGTTTTTATAAAGTCATAGACACAGAAATAATGACGTGTTAAACGTCACCCATGAATCCTCATTCTATGAGCGCCATGCTCTTCCTATTGCCTTGGTGCAGACCAGGAACCAGGCCAGAGTGTCTAGGTGTCTGGAGTATGTCCACTGGGTGAGAACAGGTACCCAGAGCACGTCCACAGAACAAGCAGGGTCCACTGGACGCTGAGCTCTGGTCTTCAGACAGAGTCTGGGCTCTGGGACTTTGGGCTCTCCAGCAGTGCTGTTCATGTGTGTCAGCTGTGCTCTCTCCTGTCAGGTGGGGAGAACTTGGGAGAACTGCCACCTGGCTCTCAGTGTGGGAAATGAGGTCGAAAGAAAGGGAGAGAAGGAGGAAGGAAGGAGCAGGGAGAGAGAGGAAAGATGGGAGAAAGGAGGAGGAGGAGGATTGAGAGGGGTAACAGCGGAGACTCACCAGTGGATCTTTTGCCCAGTTCCTGGCAGGTACTGTGGAGGGCTTTCACAAGCCCGCTCCCAAGCCTGACCTCAGCCTGTCTGAGGATGGGTTTCTGGCCCAGGGTATTAGACGGTCCAAAGCCTGTCCCCACAGGTCCCCCAACAGCAGGCCCAGGAATCCCCTAGGTTAGCAATGAGAGGCTGTGAGGTCAAAGGTCTTCCCTCCTTGCCCCTTCCCCTGCACCTGGATCCCCGCTCAGTCCAGCAGAGGTGGCCCTGTTCTGTCCTCCTGCAGGTGGTTAGCGTTTGTGTGCAGGGCCTTCCGTGGGGAACAGTTTGTCCTAGAGAAAAGAGACTACCCTTGCTGGGATGCCTGGTCCAGCAGCCGCCGCCACAATGACATTCTCCTGTCCCTCCGGCCTTTGCACATTGTAAGTTGTGCCCTGGCAGTAGGAAAGCTCTGTCCTGGGGCACACACGTGTGGGATGCTCAGGCAAGCTGTACCCAAGCTTGGTCACCGTGACCGCCCTGGGCAGGCCTTGGGTTTATGACCTCAGTGAGGGTGTGGGTAAGAGGAAGCTGACCTGAAAGGGGCTGTGGTGGGACTCCAGGATCCTTATCTTGTGTTGGCTGACATGGCCCTGGACTCCTCCCCTTTGTGATCAAAGAAATACCTCAAAATGCCTTCAGAAAATAGCGTTAAAGTAGTTCAAGCTCTTTCTTGGCACTTCCAGAAGGGGACCAGTCCTGGGGTATGGCTCCAGTCCTTCCTACAACATGTTGGAGTGACTTGATTCTTCCTGTGTGGGATGTGGGGGTGCCACTCACCTCTGACCCTGCCCTCAGGACATTCCAGACCACAAGCTGTACCTGTTTGAGAGCCCTGCCTTCAGTGGGCGCAAGATGGAGATCATGGATGATGATGTGCCCAGCCTGTGGGCCCATGGCTTCCAGGATTGTGTGGCCAGTGCCCATGCCATCACTGGGACGTAAGGACTCACCCTCTCTGCCCTGCCTCATTCTCTAAGGACCATTCCGGCCTGCCATGGCTGCGCTCACAGATGCACACGTGGGTGACTCGGATGCTTGAACCAGTCCTTGATCGAAGCCCACATGGCCAGGCGTGCTGACTTCACCTGTAACCCCAGCACTCACACATTAACAGGCACTCACATGCACACATACATGCACACACACCACACATTCACACACACACACACACACACACACACACATGCACACAGATACAGCCTACCCTATATATCCAGTTGATGCACAACTCCCATCACTGGCCTCCTGTACAGCTGTGGTTACCAGGCTGCCTGGGCTCCTAGAGAATTTTTAAAAATTTTAATCAAGTGAAACACGTCCCTCCCCCACAATGATCTCTACTTATCTTTACAACTTTTCTAAACTTCTCAGCATGTTGCTGATTTCTCAGAATGTCTCTAACTTTTCACTGCCTCTGTCTTTACCAAGGGCCTGGGGTGGATGCAGCTGTTCAGGTGGGATCTGAGTAGAGCGTAGCAGAGCAAGCTCATCACCTCCCTCCTTCAAGGCTTGCTATCACTGCTAATGCAACCTTGGGGTTGCCTTTGCTTTGTTGGTGGCTACCTCCCTTGAGAATATATCCAGACTTTTCCTGAGTGTCTACTATGGGGATCTGGTGGTCAGTAAGAACTGTGCAACCCCTGCCTCCCTGTCAAGAATGCCAGACTGATGAGGCTGGAGAGATGGCTTGGTGGTTAAGAGCTCTGGCTGCTCTTGCAGAGGACCCAGGTTTGAATCCCAGCACTCACATGGTAGATAACAACCATCCATAACTCCAGTTGCAGGGGATCTGACGCCCTCTTCTGACCTCCACAGGCATTGCACAATACAGGTGCACTTACACACATGCAAGCAATATAGATATGCATATAATTAATAATAATAATAATAATGATAACAATAATAAAAGAATGCCAGACTGATCAGTATTGTGATGGGCACATTGGGAGAGGGTGTCTCTGGGAGTCTCAGGGGGCAAATCTGATCCCCTGAGAGGACATAAGGACAAGGTAAGGAAGAGTGTTCCAGGCAGAAGGAACAGCAGGTGCAAAGGCCCAGACACGGTGTGGTGTTCTGTCAAGAGAGGTGAGATAAGAGCTGGAGGGCTGAGCAGCATTGGGAAAAGAGAAGGGCTGTTTTACTAAAGGCAAAATGTCTGTATTCATCTCAAAGGCCCCGGGGAGCCGAGGAGGAATTTAGCCAGGTGGGGAGCTGGAGGCTTTAATGGGCTGGGTCTGGCCTGAGGAAGGGGACTGGGGGACAGTCCTCACCTCACCTTGTTTGTTTTCCCTGGCAGGTGGGTTGGTTACGAGTTCCCTGGCTACCGAGGGAGCCAGTACATGTTCGAACGAGGCGAGTACTGCCGCTGGAATGAGTGGGATGCCAACCAGCCACAGCTGCAGTCAGTGTGCCTCATCAGAGACCAGAAGTGGCACAAGTGGGGCTGCTTCCTCAGCAGCTGAGGGACATGGGTCCCTGGGGGCCTTCGCCTGTCCCTGGGACGGCCAGGGCAAGAAGAGGAGGCCACGGGGCCGGAGCAGGGCTGACCTGTGCACCTTCCCCACACCTGCTCAATAAAGCCCAGTCCCCACCTGCCGTGGCGCTTTCTCCATCTTCCTGGGCTGTGGGAGGAGTGAGGCTAAGGAGGGGCTAGGACCCCAAGTTGGGGCTGAGGGTGCACCTGTGCCCTGGTCCAGTCCTTTCGTCTGAGGCTACGTTCACCTGTGAAGCTTGCTTCTGCTGCCAGTGCCTCCATCTGAAGAGCTGTCCATCCATCTGTCCATCTGTCATCCACCCATTCATTTGTCCATCCATCCATTTACCCATTTACTCATTCATCCATCCACCCACCTATCTGTCATCCACCCACCCAAATCCCCACACACCACCCAAATCCGCACCCACCACCCAAATCCGCACCCACTCACCCACCCATCTTCCCATCCATCTACTCACCCACCCATTTGTCCACCCATCCATTCATCCACCTACCCACCCATCTGTCCACTCATCCATCTACCTGTCCACCAATCTATTCATCCACCCATTCATCCATTCACTCATCTACTTATCTATCTTTTCAATATTTTCTTTCTACTGATTCATTCATCCTTGCTAGCCATCTATCATCATCCATCCATCCACCCACCCATCCATCCATTATCCATTCATCCACCATTCATCTATCATCTACTCATCCATCCATCATCCACCCATTCACCCATCATCCATCCTTCCATCATCCATCCATCATCCATCCTCCCATCCATCTAGCCATCATCCATCATCTATCCTTCCACCCATCCATCCATCATCCATCCTTTCATCCATTCATCCATTATCCATCCATCATCCATCTTTTCATCCATCATTCATCTATCCATCCTTCCTTCCATCCATCCATCCATCATCCATCTTTTCATCCATCATTCATCTATCCATCCTTCCTTCCATCCATCCATCCATCATCCATCTTTTCATCCATCATTCATCTATCCATCCTTCCTTCCATCCATCCATCCATCATCCATCAATCCATCTATCTATCTATCTATGTATCTATGTATCTATCTATGTATCTATCTATGTATCTATCTAATCCTTCCATCCATCATCCATCATCCATACTTCCATCCATCCATCCATCATCTATCATCCATCCATCCATCCTTCATCCTCCCATCCATCAGGTCACCTGTCTTCCCACTCATCCTTGTCTTTCTCCTGCCCTTTCTCTCATCATTTTCCCTGGATCTCCCTATCAGTCAACTGATCTTGCTGTCATTCATTTATATGACAAGTGCCATGCCCTGTTTGGGGCCCAGCATCCAGCCTTCCATGGGAGCAAGAATACACAGCCACACAGAGTTGCACTATCCTTTGGGAAGCTGCATCTGAGGAGGATAAGCGGAGTGCAGAGAGTCAGTGGTGGAGTAGGGGCCCTGCTCTGAAGAGGTGACATTTTAGCCAAGATGAAAGTGACTTTGAGAACACTCCAGACAAAAGAGAATAGGCCTGGAGGCCCTGAGCAGGTAGGCCTATGGGTGGGTGATGGGGAGTCAGCCTGGAATGAAGCCTGGAATGTAGTTAGAGGGTGGGGTGCCAAGGAAACGAAGGGTCAGGACACCCAGGGCTTTTCTGACCACCATGGAGTTGGAGCCATGGAGTGTTTGAGGAGGGTTGGTCATGGTAGGGTTAGGGTTAGTAGGATGTTAATAGTACACTGAGGTCAGATGGAGGCCTTGCACTACCTTGACTGTGCCTGGCCCCGCCCCAGCCCATTACTGTGACCACCCTGAGCTCCAGAGCTTCATAGGAACATTAGTGGTTACCTGGGGAAACTGGGCAGTGCCAGACACTAATGGGTCTCTTCTGCCTGAGTGGGTGGAACAGGGTAGGGGGTGGTAGCTGCTGATAGCTGACTTTGGGCAGGTTTGCTCCTGGACCAGCTCAGAGCTCTCACCTGCAGAAGTCCACCTGTGTTAGACTCCCAGCTTTGTCCTGGCACTGGAGTCTTATCTCAGTCACCCACAGCCTCTCCAGTGACTGATATAGCTGGTGTGTGGAGACCAGGGACAGGAGGGGGGCTGTACCTGGGAAGGCCTGATAGAACGTGGCTTTTTTTTTTTTTTTTGAGGCAGGGTTTCCCTGTAGCTCCAGCTGGTCTGGAACTTTCTATGTAGATCAGGCTGGCTTGCCTCAATCTCACAGAGATCCACCTGTCTCTTCCTCCTGAATGCTGGGATTAAAAAATGTACAACCACACTTGGCTTGCGAATGTGCTAGTTAAAAAAAAAAAAAAGATTTATCGCTGAGTGTGGTGGCGCACGCCTTTAATCCCAGCACTTGGGAGGCAGAGGCAGGTGGATCTTTGTGAGTTCGAGGCCATAGTTCGAGGAATATAGTGAGTTCTAGGACAGCTGGGGCTACAAGGAGACCCTGTCTCAAAAAGCCAAAAAAAAATATCTTATTTTAGATTGTGTGTGTGTGTGTGTGTAAATGTGATGAGTGGAGGTACTCACAGAGGCCAGGAGAGGGTACTGGATTCTCTGAAGCGGGAGTTACAGGTAATTGTGTGTGTGCTGGGAATCAAACTTGGGTCCTTTTCAAGGACAGCATGTACTCTTAGCTGCTGGTCTTCTCTCCAGCCCTGGAATGTGGCAATTTTGAGGATTCCAACTCACAAACTTAATAAAATGGGAGCTGGGGGCATGGCTTGTTGGTAGAGTGCTTACCTGGCATGCAGGAAGCCCTAGGGTAGATCCCCAGCACCACATAAACCAGACATTATGGTAATACATGTCTGTGATACCAGCACTCCAAAGGAGGCAGAGGCAGGATGATCAGAAGCTCAAGGTCATCCTCAGCTACATATGCAGTTTGAGGTCATCGTGGGCTACTGAAGCGTAGTCTTAAACAGGACAGGCAGACAGACACAGACAGACAGACAGACAAAAATAAAACAAAATAAAACACCTAGCTGAGAAACCACCTTGACTTTTTGTTTTGGGGTATATGGGATGCTGGGGGTCCTCAGGCTAGGGTAGGTCAGGAGGTATCTAACTAGGCAGCAGGGGAAAGGCAGGGTGACCCCCATGGGGTGGGAGCCTCCCACCTACCTCTTCTTCCACATTCTGCTTTCTAAGCCGGCCCTTGCTGGCCCCATCCAGGGCTACGGGCCTGACAGAATGCAGCTCACTGGGTCCTAGGAGGTAGTGGGGAGATGGTTCCTGCTTCTCAGATGAACGAGCACGGTTTATAGAAGGGGGCTTTCTCCAGGGTCTGAGACTTGAACCTCCATATGGACCCTAGAACTTTCCTTCCTGGGTCTACACAGGACAGACACAGAGGAAAGCAAGCCGCCAGGGCGTGGGGCTCCAAAGGCTGACAGTACCACTCCAACACCACCTGAGTCACACCCTGGCAGAAATGATTCTCCTTTGCAGGGAAACAGCTCAGAGAGCTGGAGTGCACTGCCCCAAGCATCACAGCCTTTCCACGGATGACCAGGGTTCCTAGGCTATGAGAAGCCCGCTGTCAACATTCCTGATGCCATGCGACCCTCGCAACGCCCCTGAGGCAGCCGCACCTGCACTCCCTGTGCCGTGAGCACATACTATGGGCCAAACTCCAGGATGAGGTTGGACTCTGACACATCCCGATGACCCATCACAGGTCTCTGGGTAGTGGGCATTAGGCAAGGCCTCATGGGCCAACATGCCCACCTTGCTTAGGCTAAGCAGTCCCTCAGCTTACATTCTAGAAGCGAGGCTCAAGGGGACGCTGGTTACAGGGTAGCCTCAGTGCTCAGTGATGTCCAGACCACTCTGCCCAGAGCTTCAGTCTTACAACCCTCTCTGTTTTCTGCAAGGGGCCTTCCATGTATGACCCAGTTGAGTACTATGACCCTGTGGGTGCTCAGAAAGGACGAGCCAGTTGCTGAGGTCACAGAGCCAGGGAGAGGCAGAGTTCAGATGGGCTCAGCCATCTAACTCTAAGAACACTCCTAGCTCCAGCCCAGGCCCAGATTTGGTCTCCCTCAGGCACAGAGCATGAGGGAGGGTGAGGTGGGAGCCTCCTTAGCTAAGAGGGATAAGGTTTGGTTCACTGAGAGGTGGGTGGAATGGTCTAGGGGAGGAGGTGGCAGGTCTGAGTTGGACTGGTTCCTTCCCAGCCTTTATCACGTACTATGTGCCTTTGGCCCAATCACTTAACCTCTCCCTGCTGTTTCTACTTGGCAGAAAGAGCTGAGGAGAGCATGTGTGATGTGAGCGTCCATCATCTTCCTCCTTGTGGTCTCTTTTTGATGATGATGAGGAGGCCGCCCTCTAGATTCTGTTACCGACACAAAGCCCTGGGGACCCTGGTGCCTGTAACTGAAGAGTTTAGTAACTGTAAAATCCTGGCACCCTGGCAATGTCTTCTGGTATTGGGACAGGTACTTCTGCCTAGGGTAGGAAGAAGTCGGTATACATCACTTACCAATTGAAACCAATATACCCTTCTCTCCTAACCCATCCCTCTACCCCCACCCCTCCACCCCACCCCTGCAGATTTGTTGACTCAGAGATCTGAGTGGAGAGTTCTTCACCCTTATACATTGAAACATTCTATCATGTCATTATTTACACTACAGTTAGAATAAGGGCCTCTTAATGATTTATTTTAAAAGCCTACATGTTGGTGGTTTATATTGTTAATTTTATTTCGAGAGACTAAGGTGGCTGTCTCAAATAGCTGTCACCAGCAAGTGTCCTTTGGAATTCCCGTCTGTTGGATAAGAGATGCCTTGACTGCTGTTTTACCTAGACCTGCTGCTTTATGGAGCCCTTCCTTCCCTGCATTGGTCAAGCTATCTGCAGTGACAAAACAGCCCCTGATTCTTGGTGGCTTAAAGCAGCAGAGGCTGGTTTCTCCTTCTGATGCATATGGCCCTGTTCAGCAGGAGATGGGCTATAGGCAGGTGTTCAGTGATTTGGGTAGATTGTGATTCCACAAGGTGTTGGGCCACCATGGTGCCAGGCCACCATCTCAGCAGCACCTGAGAGAGCCTTAAAAAGT